CAATTCAACGGAATCCCTGTGACTACAAGGGGCACACACACACACGCGCGACCACAACACACAAAACCACAACACGCACAGACACAAACGCACAACCACAGCACGCAACCACAATCACACAGCCACAAACACAAAGCCACGAACGCAACCACACACAACCACAAACACAAACACAACACACAGCCACAACACACCACAAACATAACTCAACACAGCAATAAGATTAGCTGTTTGTGTGGCATTTTGCATGGCAGGGGGTCACAGGGTCGCACTTCCGGATGCCAAAGGCCTGGGCGACACTTCGATGCGAAGAGCAACTCCAAACCTGAGCGCCCATAAGCAGAACCGAGAACCACAAAAGCCCTGACCATGGCAACATGCTCCTTGTCTCCTCAACATGTCAATCATCGCCTATCCTAGCTGAAGTTGAGGGTCATCAATCCGGCCAGTAAAGGGTCCACATTCTCAGTTCGAGAAGATGAAAAACGATCAGATCCATCCTGATTCCAGCCCCAATTCGGTGGAAAGTCCATAGGTCACTCCAGGTCCACTTGAACTCGGCCCAGAACTGTCCTGTCCACCAAGAAAACTGGGTGCCTGTTCCTTCCCCTCCCTGACCTGCATTCAACCCATCTTCATGTGAAAGTGTGTGAGGTAGCAAGGTGCAGGCTAATGCAGTAGCTGTGAGGCTTGTGCTTTCGCAATCAGATCTTGGCAAGAGGAGTGGCAGATGCCAATGGATATGAGCTGCTTCGTTTGATTCGGCGAGAATTCTCTTTGTATAGTTGGCAGGAGGCCTTACACTATCGTGATTTGGTGCTGAAATACACTGTGTCAAGAAACCCACTGCTGATGGCTTGATTGATGCACTCAGGGAGGTACAGACGGAAGTTGAGGCATCCCACAATATGATGGCCGGGCTTGTGGATCTCAGGATCAATGAACTTGAGGAACCTTCCAGACAAGGTGTCAGAGCACATCCAACTGATCAGTGGTGCTGGAGGCGTGCTGTGGCCGTACTGCATCAGGAGTAGAGCAACAGGCTCACTCGAACGAGCTCACGCTGTTCAGAGTTCACCAATCAGGACAAAGGGATGTTTCAATTTGTGGTGACCCAGATCATTTACAGGCCAACTGTCCAAAGCCGAAGAAGTGCAAGCATTGTGGAAAGAGTGGGCACCTGAATCTACAAGCCAATGGGTCTTGAGATCCTTAAATGATTGGAATGTCACGGTGGGGATCACTCGAAGTAAAGCAGTTGTTTTGTGTGTGCTGTGGCAGACGCAGGGAATATTGTTTTTTTATATTGATATATGATATATTGTATTTTTTACAAATTTAGGTACATATATGTATGTATATATTTACACTATATAACATAAACATAAATATAAACATATATTAAACTAAAAAATGCAAATTTCTAAGCCAACCGATAGGCTAGGCTGAATTTAGTTTCTGCAAGCAGGGTGTGGGAGGGGTATAGTTCAACCAATTTCAATGACATAATTTTATATATAGTCATATAGGCGATTTGGAAGAGGGCCCCACCAGGTTTGCAAAAACGTCACTTTTGGGAAAAGGGCCCTTGACAGCTGGCCATTTATCATACACACCCATGTAGTTACATGCGCACTGTAGGACCTCCACGGCTCATTCCACCCCGGGTAGGAATGATCCATCAGTTGCACTGTGTACATATGCGCTTGTTTCATTAACGTGTCCAAAGTTATAGTGGGCTGGGCCTGGGATGTTCGACTTAGGCGAAGCATACCCCCGAAGCATTCCCCGTAATCAAACATCCCGGCCGGGGAACGCCACAAAAACACAATCCTACATAGTTTTTGAGGCATATGCAGTATAAACAGTATTTACACCTGTGTGTACCATGCCTCATGACATGGGACTGGCGGAAATTGAGGAACCCCTTGAGCTAGATCATATGGAGACAACACAGGCTTGAATTCCCCTATAATGAACCGCGCCCGGCACCAGGCCTGAGAAATGACCAAGGAAATCGAACAGATCATTCCAGCAATTGAGGGTCATGCTGCGCTGGTTTTCTGTATTTCGAGCCGGGGTAGGGTTCAATAGCGGAACGGGCATCCATTTGTATGCAATTTTGCGGTCACCGTTAGTTTATAATGTATAATTAGTAGAGGTGGCCAATTGAACACTGATTGAAACCCATGTTGACTCACTCCATGGCCCGACTCGGCCAAGGCATCGCTGACCATGCTTGAGGATAAGGCCTTGCAGTCTGAAACTCAGAGTTCGCTGCAGCACGAGTGAGCTGTGAATGATCATCCTGTCCGGATCTTAGCAACTGCATGTGCTTGCAGCCGCCAGATCCATTCGATTTGAGGCGAGCGATCACCGGCATGCAGAATCTGAAAGATGTGGCCGCTTGCTTGCAGCTTTGGAAATGACATGCGTGACAGTTTAAGGTTGGGACGGCCTTGTCATCACTACATTGCTATACTGTTTTCACAATTGATTACTGTAATTCCAAGATGGTTGTCCAACTACCCTGAGGGTCAGATTGGCAGAACAAAGGTGCTTTCCAGGCTCATGATTGTCGCACCAACCCTAAGACTTGTGCAACCAATTCAGTAAGAGTGCACTCCTCCTACCAAACTTGCCTCAGTTCTGCGTGACGGGTGATTAGCACTGCCCAGATCCTCCGATTTGCTGTGCGTGAGAGTTGTGGACCATGCCTGGCCAGGTCATTCCCAAGACTGCCACGAGCGCCGCTGAGTGGCAATGGAGATGCCGACAATGTATTATATATATACAGATATATGTGGATGAACCGGCCTGTAGTCAAGCCACGTGCAAAGGACATATATGGACATCTTAGAGTTATAGGTTTTTTTTTTTTTTTTTATGGTTATACTTTAACATAATGGCACTCTGAACTGCATTGATCGTCCGTGCGAACAAAAGCTACCCAGTTTTTGTTGCTATTTGTTTGTCCGATCTCTCAGCATGGTCACCTAGAGTTGGACAACGCTGACTTAACTTATCCATCTCACTTTGCGGTGGGCTTCTCCCGCCAAATCATTTGGAATACACCCCTGCTGTCCTTACGCCGATGTCCGCTGATGTCGGGTGCTCACCCGAAGTTTCGTATCTCAGCCCCGCCTTCAGATGCGCAACTCGAGCTTTGGACAGTGCCTGCCACGTGGCACATCGACCTGGAGTCGTGAGGCGTGCGCGCTTCACTGCAAAGAGGGGGTTCATGATGGTAGGTGACGAAGGGGATTGCATGGAGGAGTAGAATGGAGTAGGACTTCGAGATGTTGAATAGTTTCACTGCTTCTTCGGTCTTTTCGAAGAGAGAGCAACCACAGCACATTCACCGTTGCATCGGTGTTTTTGCTTCTTCTTGGTGCCAACTAGGCATCCTGGCCAACCAGTTTCGGACTGCGTTGCTCCACTTCGAACATGTCAATTCAATAAGGGGTCCAACATGGTTCAACTGTGTAAGAGTCCCCGAACAAACAGTTTTTGCAATGGTTGTTGTTTGTTCCTTTCCCCCAGAGTGGGGACTGCCGACGGAAGCAAGACGAAGCAGGAAAAGGCAAGCAAGACGAAGACGAAGCAGGCAGGCTCACTGATAATATGCAATCATGATCATGCGTGTCATGCGGAGGGCTAGAATTGGAGTGTGCATTGCAATGCCTCTCGGATCCTGTCGGACGTTCTCCTTGCCACACTTCCTTCGGGTGGACTTCAGAACCAAGTCAGGATGTAGCTCGTAAATCACTCAAATCACGGAAAGGAATTTGTTCAACATTATCACCATTAGCAATCACGATATCATGTTGGTGTTAGTAACTAACTAGCCATGGTTTGAGGGAAAGTATCAACGTTGGTATCCATCCCTTCACTCGCACGTTTGTCAATGACTTTCAATGTTTCCAGCTCTCTCCTTTCGCGCCTTTCTCAGGCGCAATAGAGACAGGCGAAGGCTCCAGTGGTTGAGGGAAATCCAGAAAACGAATACATGTTGGTAAGAAGCACCACATCGTGGAGACTATATAGATGAGTAGATGACTAGAGTTTTTGGGTAGTTGTTTTCTTTACACGACCAGGTTATGATCAGTACTCTTCAATGTCAAGCGACATTTGGGAAGAGGATCTCTGCTGCGTTCGGCTGTGTCGTTATGTTCGTCTCGGAGCTGCGTGACAGAGCTGAGAAACCAGACCGCAGGATCCTGCAAGACTGGTGGTCTTGGTGATTTGAGACTTCAAGTGGTAAACGGAATTTCCCTTTGTGCTTTTTGATGTATTTTGTATAGTAATTCTTGTCAGGAGGATGCTTGAGTTGGATTGTTGGTGATGTTTTCTTGATCCCAGTGGCTTCTTGGATTTCCTTCAGCCACAGGAGTGTTTAATCTGAGGGCCAATTTAAGGCTTTGCGACTGCGTCATGACCCGTCATTGGCATTGGTCGCTTTTCAACATGGCCGATCACATTTCACATGTGTTTCGACAAAATGGTAGGAAGCATCGTGTAGGACTGCATGTCCTAGTAGATGACGAAGGTGACACAAGTGGTGGTAGTGCGCACCAATTAAGTTAGCATTCGATTTGCCCCTGCCGTTTATTTCATTCGCAGCCGCTACGCTTGCTACGCTCTTTGCGCTGGTTGGCTTTGCACTTGTGCTGTTGCCCACTAGCAACAGGCTTTGCCTCGAAGAAGCTTTGGGAGCAAGTGTTCTTGCATGTGATCCATGTTTGTGTAGAAATGTTCGTCAAGAACACGATGCTCTCTGCAGTGTAATTTGAAACTTATACCACGTTCTGCGTTAGGCTACCCACAATCATGCGTGTGCAAAGTGGCGAGAGCTGACAAGACAAAGGTCTCGCTTTGTCAATGTCGAAGTACAAGGTAGGACACACACAGTTTGTTGGGATTGGAATCTGATATAAACAGAGTATTGGATTATCGTAATCAAGGAAGACTGATCCTGCGTGGTATTTCAGCCAGCAGGGACTTTGCCCGGCGATCAGAGAACATTTCGGGCTTATGCGGCAGCAAAGCCACTTGGCACATGCACTGTAGCTAGGAGTGTTGTGGCAAAGCTTAGCAACCGTCTAATGTGCCATAGAAAAGGGCTGAGACATTGGTTTGGCAGGGACGAAGGCCCATCCGAGTTTTGAGGTGGTGGAGACTGACATGCAGGGGACCAAGATGTGATATGTCGATGAATTGAACAAACTATCGGCATTTCAATTCCACGCGATCCACTTTGTTGATCCTTGCATGATTGAACATGGACCACCAAGCCGTCCATAGCAAAGGGCCGTGCTTCGTTAGGAGATCCCCAACTGGAGAATGGGCGTGCATCTACAATACTTTCTATTTCACTATTGCTATTCATTTGGGATCTCTCATAGGCATATAGGTTTGCATGCTTTCTCAACTTCCTCCTTGATCATTCCCAGTGACTGCCAGGCAAAAGAAGAAAATGGTTCAACGGTTCAACTCCTATTTTGTTGATGTGGGCAGCACATTCACATCTAAGTCCGTATCGGAGCGCCTGGCAGGATGACAGGGCTTAGGCTCGGACGAATGTTCTCCAAGGCACCCCCAAGCCCGTCAGAATCAATCTGTCAGGTTGTGAAAGCCACACATCAGAGGTTCAGGGTTCTTTTGGGGGTCATATCTTGGAATCCGTCCCACGCAGGAAGCTCCGACTGATTGGCAGACCGGGAGCCCGGCAAGTTCCAAGGCATGGCAAGAGCTTGGCACTGTTTCGTTTATAGATGAAAGCAGTTTGTGATGTCCAATTATTTTGATGGGTTCGCGAAGTCCATGGCGCCATCCAGAGAGAGGATGGTCACGACACTCACTGTTTGTTGGGCAATACTAGTGGCAAGGCTTCAAAGCCAGATACTAGGCGTTGCCAGCCCTTTGTTTTCTCCTCCTCGCCCATGAGCTCCTTTTGGCCCATGAGCCAATGTGGCCAGCGAATCAAACAGCACCACCGATTCTGCCACGGCCACGGAGTGTGGTTGTTGAGCTCAGGTCCTTGCGGAAGGGTGCTTTAGAGGCACAAGTTGAGGCCTGGCATGATCAAAGCGCCTTGCTTGATTGGGAAAGTCCGTTGTGATCTACAGGAAGGTGCTGCCCTTTGGTGGACAAGTTGGTCTCATACCAAACGGGCCTGCACACACACAGATATATATATATATATATAGTCCAGCTAGTTCTTCGGAACATTGAACTGTGGGTTGGTTTCACGGATGCCATTGATTTCCATAAAAGATCCAAAGACATCGCACAAAGAAATTACTGGGATGTCACAGTAGGCCGTGGAAGTTCATGATGACCTTTGGACCAACCACGTCAAACAAGTTGTGGGAGGAAGAAGCGATAGCTTGAATAAGGTCCATGTTCGGTTTGAGAGCTTTGAGAAAGAAATTGCGTGTTGGTTGGTGTCGCTTGGTGGGACCTTGCTGCATACATGACAGCCTGAGTTGGAAGCAACTTTGCTGCAGGACATTAGCTGGCAATTTATATAATAGGTGCCGATCATGTGGCCATAGGTAGAAAATCCGGCAAATCGAGGGGGAACATGTCAATTCCAGGATATTCCAGGCTCTCACAGGATGGAGGACCAGAACCATGAGCCATCATGAGCCTATGATAGCCTATGCGAGCCGCGAGCCTCCTTGTTTCAACTTTGTTTGGCCGCTTTTCGTGGGCGAATTCCGTGTGACGCTGTGACGCACGGCAGCCTGCTTTGACGCCATGGCATCCAGACTGGAAATTGTGGACCATGTGGCTACCATCACCCTTTGCCGCGAAAAGGAGCGGCCACTAGGCAAAGTCTGAAATTGGCGTTGATGTGAACGAATTGGGTAGGAGATCAGTTCATCATCGCATATCATCGTGATTCTTGATGGTTCATACGAGGTTTGAGCATTTTGGCAACTCTCGTTTTGCAGCCAATTTTTTGAACTTCTTTGCTGTCGTGCGAAAAGGCTAGGGGCTTGAAACTCATGGCGGAACATTGCAGAACCTGTCTTGCCCCCAGGAACAACATACGCTTTGGCAGGGGAATGTCTATGTTGCGTATGTTGTTCCCTTAGGCTTCCTCGAGACTTGCTGAGGGTTCCTTTAACATAGCCCCACCCGACTGACTCGCATGGCAAAAGACATGCAACAAGTGAGACAAACTGTTGAAGAGATATCTAGCAAGGTCCTTTGAGCACCACCTCAGATCGTCCAGGAATCATGGACCCACTGTTTCGGACCCGGCGCGCGGAACCAACTGGAAGTGGTGTGTTGAAGCACGCCCTCGTTACTCAGATGTTCCCAGGAACTCGCTGGACAGCAAGCTGCTAAGCTCACTTGGCAGCCAGCTGATCCTTTTCTTGAAATGAGACTGAGGGAGTGTCTCCACAGGTGGCATCGTGGCACCGGTGACCGACGTGAGGGTACGCGCGCCGATGTCTCCATGGCCCCACATTTGCAGGTCAGGGATGTTTTTTAAACGAGAAGAAGGCCCCGCAGGTGGATCTAGCGGGGACGGACAGGGTTGTGTCCTGCCGGTCCGGAAGCGATGAAGTAAAATGTTCGCATCGAGTTCAGACACTCTGTTCCTATATATATGGCGCTGGAAAGAAAGCAAACAAAAACATGCTCTGAGACCTTGAGAATCCCAAGATTCGCTCAGGACGACATGCATGAAGGATGAATCTGTGCATGTCATTGTCCTCACGAATTTGGGGAGTCTTGGCAGCCAGCAGATTCCGACGACGGCCTCAGAACTACGTACCTAATTACTTGAAGAACCATCGTTTAAGGCCTCGGTTAGCTAAGACAAGACCTCAGAAAGACTGCAGCCACACCAATGCAAGCAGAGGAAGCTTGTGTAACACCACATCAAGCATCTCTATGCTGTGCTGTCCATGCTTGGCCCTTCGCTCCCAACGGTTGCTGGTCCATGTCACCATCCCAGGAACACCTTTTCAGCTGGCGCAAACCTGAAAAGTGCACAAGAGACTTGCGAATACAGTTTGGTCGACATCTTCAACTTGATGCAGCAAGGACCCAAGGCTGGGCATCAGTGTCCCGCAGTCCTGATGTTCCTATCCACACCCACTTGGCTGCAGGGGCTCCTGTGGGGTCTTAACATGGATCCAACGATATTGCAAGAAGATCACGGAACATGCCCTTTTCTATCCACGCTTATGTTTGTGGTTCTCTTGGAAGAACGCTCCCCATCACTCGAGGAAACTAACCCTTTAGTCTGCAGAACTGCGTTCACCTACTCTTGGTTTTTGGTTGCCACAAGCCTTCTACGGAGGCCTGTATGGAGCAGTCAGATATGCTGGCCCGCAACTTCATTGATTTACTAACAGGTACACAGGGAGTGCGCCAGTTACAACGGACCAGGACGAAACTCAGATCGGACGAGAAACAACCCATGTTATATACTCCTTTTCTTTTCGGGTTGCCTGTTTGGCCTTGCTTTTTCCAGGTCATCATCGGCAAGATCAACGGTCACTGCACTGGGGGAGGCGTGGGCTTGGCGGCCGCTTGCGACCTGTCGGTGATCCGCGACGATGTCCAGGTGGGGAATGTGACCAGGAAGGGCAGAGGTGTGGCAACCAGATGAGTCTAGAGGGGGAGAAAATCAAACATCAACGTTTGTTGTTGCTTTCTTGCAATATCTTGTAACCATTTTATTTATGTTTCCTTCCTTCAATTTAGTTTACTTTATTACGAAAGCCAGCCTTCGTAGAAGGCGCCAGCTGAGTTGTGTTTGGCGAACGAAGTGAGTAAGTAGGGGGTCTGGGGGGGTGGCCCGCAAACGTACTACGTAAACTCGAAATTAGGTGGGGGAGAGGGGTCCACGGAAGTAAGGTTTTGAGGTTGAGTTTCTGTGATTTTTGAGGGGGTGGTGATGCAAGACATGCAGTTTGCATCATTTGCATCATGTGATTGGTAAGGTGTAGCTGGTGCCTTGCCAGGTATAGATACCCAGGTAGCTACTGTTCAGTTACCAGGTGTAGTACTTCAAGTTCCCTTTCCGTCAACCGCTCGATAACCTTTACACACGCACAGCAATCCACAGCTTTGAAGTCTCATTCGTGCTTTGAGCTTATATAGGTGTGGAAGGGGTATAGCCACATAGCATATATACGGACCCAGGGTAGCTCCAATTCAGTTGCCAGGTATCGCACTTCAATTTTCCTACCCTGGGTCCGCGCTTGGGAACAGAATTGTGGCTACCCTGGGTCCGTATAAATTATAAATGCTATGTTCCTATACCTCTTACACACCCATGTCATACCCAGTAGCTGAATTGCAGCTACCCTGAGTATATATACCTGGCAAGGCGCCAGCTGGGTAAGAAGGGGGCTTCGGGGGTGGCCTGAGAAAGCACACTCGAAAGTAAGTGGTGTGTAGGGGTGCACGAAGCACGCCGTGCGCGATGCTGCATGCTGCCTTTGGCCAACAACGTGCTTGTGGACAAAGAACGCTGGCTTTCGTTTTGCAGCTTCCCACGTTGTATTTCAGCTTCTGGCCGAGTCCAAATTTCATTCATTCATGGGCGCTGAAAAACACAACAGTTTGAGCTTTCACACACAAAACACACACAACAGACAAGAAACTACTAGTAACAAGGGCATCACTACTAGTAACAAGGGCATATCTACTAGGAGCAAGGACGCTACTAGTAGTTCCTGGCCTTACCACTAGTAACAAGTAACACGTATCGCTGGCTCTCAGTAGGTGGGCTTCACTGAAGTCCGCATCGGCGTGGCACCTGCGATGATCTCGGCCCATCGGCAAATTCTTGTGCATGAATCCGGGAGCTTGGGGTAGCATGGTGGAGAATGAAGGATGTCAAAATTGGACCATGTACCTTTGTTATCCTTTGTCACTACTATTCGCAAGAAGCTTCTAGGTGGGGGCCATCGCTACTACTACTACTACTAGGTGGAGGCAAGAAGCTACTAGGTTGAGGCCATCGCTACGAGTAACAAGAATAAAGCTGTTACTAGCTGCAGGCCATGTACCTTTTTTACATTTTTTTTTGCGTCTTGAGGCCGAGACACCATGCGGGATCACAACCAGCAGCAAAACGAGAGAGCACGGAGCATCAACTAATCCAGGTGATATTTGTGAAGGGGAACAAACTCACAATTGGGCCATGTACGTATAATATGTGCCCATGGCGAACCCCCACCGAACAGTCCAGAAACTACATAGCAACATCGCTTGAGTGCACTTAACAAGCGACCTGTGAAAGTGATGGGACATTTGTTTGTTTGTTTGCCTGTTTGTACCGGCAATGAAATCAGTTCCATGGATTTTAACTTTTCAGGTTCACCACTGGTCTATATGATCAGGACAGTGATCCGGGTTTCAAGTCCAAACGCCCAGCAGAAAAGCGGAAAGCAGGCATCCGGTATCCCATGACATTCGGCGGAATCTAGGCAGCGGTAGCAAAACGCCCAACTGCAGAGGCCAATAGTGATGGGGGGGTACCGTAGAATTGGTCACAAGGAAATGCCAATGAACATGTCTCAGCCCTTTTTATGGTTGCTCCCCTCGACTTTCAATTCAACTCACCTAGTCATCCCTCATACCCATACGTATCCACATGCCAAAAAGCAAACAGGCGCGCGCGACATCCAGTGTCAACAGCAGTTTTCCAAAAGGTGCCAAATTTTGTGATTTTGATACGAGACCTTTTTTAGGTTGTTAGATCCACGAAAAAACGTCCTCGGGCGGAAATCGGTGTTTGACGACGGTTCAATCTGAGCCATTTGGTTTATTTGGTTTGGCAGGGTGATGGTTGTGGTTGTTTTAGACATAGTCTGAACATTTCACGGGCGGAAATCGGCGGAAAATGGCGGAACTCGTTTTGTAACTAACGCAACTGTCAAGGAACTTTGCTCTGCTTGGATGACGGATGTTGGATGCGGATGATTTATTTACTACGGGCAGAAATGTTTCATGCCTACTGAAAAAATGCCTTCTCAACTGCGGCCAGTATTTTGACACCTGTGGCGGGTCTAGGTTTGCTCTAAGCTCTGATGCATTGAAGGATGGGGCGCATGAAGTCTTTCGGTAGCCAGTTCTTGTTATTGAGGTGATTTGCCTGCCCAAGATGACCCGTGGCAAAGCTGCCGAGATGATGCTGTGTGGCCTGAAGGCCGGATGCGCTAGCGGGAATGGTTGACAAGCGTTGACAATTCGATTGTAACAAGTTGTGAACATGTTAGGCCTGCAGCACAACACATCGCCCTATCGTAGGCATAGGATTCACGGTCCATCTTCCAACGTCAGCGCACGAGGCCGCATATTGGGCGACAAATCACCATTAGGAGTCACGAAACGCATTGGAGCTCCTTACCCCCCCAACGATGATGGTTGCAGTTCATGTCGAACACCTGCTTTCATTGCCGGTCTTTGCCACACACGCACACACACACACACACGCACGCACGCATGCACGCACCCACACACACACACACCCACACCCACACGCACACGCACACCCACACCACACCTTTGCGGAGAAAACGTAGCTGCAATGGCTCCTCCGGCTCCTCCTGTCACCACTGGTTTGGACACCATCTCTTCAGGGTTCTCAGGCTCCGTTTCCTGCTCTCACGTAATGTGCATCTTCCGCGGGTCGCCGGTGAACAACGATCCGCTCAGCTCAACCAGAGTCTTAATCAGGTCTCAGGGCAGCAGGCAGCGGAAGCGGGGCTTTTCACTGCTGCAAGGAGTGCTGAGCAGATGGATGGCCAGGTGGAAGAGTGGGTGGCTCGATGGAGCGATCCTGGAGGTTTCTGGAGTATTTGTTTAGACATGTTTGGACCATTTGTTGCATTCGCCGAGTCCAGTCGGTGAATGTTAAGCAGTTACAAAAAAGTCCTATGAAACGTGCATGTCCCACTCTTCAGGTATATATATATATACTTCAGAGGCTGCTTGAATGCTTGATACTGACAGGCTGTTGAAGTGGTTGATTTTAAAGCGACCTGACCTGGGCACAAGTCTAACCAATCGCAAAAACCTGCAGGATTTGAGCCAAGAGGTTGCGGAGGGTATTAATTCATATCAATTTGATCCAATCGGTTGATTGATGTTGATTCCATGGATTTGGTTGAACTACCACGACAGGCCCCACGACAGGTTTGGTTGCGTGTAGGTTTGCCAGAGAAAGGAAATTGGAGGTGTTCAATGTGTTTGCTGTTTGCGTGTAGCAACACCCCAGAGAAAGTCCGCCCTATAGTTCTGCAAGTATTGTAAATATTACACTCCCGGCTAGTAGAGAATCAATCAGGAGTGATCCGGCACATATCGGTATATATAGTGTATAGTGTATATCTATATTTATAATACTATAGATATATATAGATATTTGATAAATTTGTTCCCATCAGTACTTTGGCCCAAATCCCAAGTAGGTGGTTGATTGGCAAGAATGTTCGCGTCAACCCCAAGATTGTGTTTGCGTCGGTTGCTTAGGTCGACCAGATCCGCCATGGCGGCCCAAACGCACTTGGTGCGACCAAGTCGCTTATCTACCGAGTGCCCGGTATGGCCCCGGCGGAGGCCTTTCAGTGGACGCAGGACCGCAGGATACCGCTGGCAAGGCCAGAGATGCCTGTGTTTGATGCTGATACATTATACATTTGATACCTGTACATTACTGTATTATATATATTATACTTTATATATATATAGTTACAATATGTCAATAGGGATGAGGTCCCAGTATAGTTGCTATATAGGTACATGCCATATACTTTTGGCTCAAGTGCCCAACCAGGTAAAAAGGAGCTTTAGCGCGCGAGCTTCATGTTGAACTAAGGGCTAGAACGGGGCCAGGGGACACCTTTTCACCCGTTCGCAGGTTATCAGCCGTATCCAGACTCCCTTGAGCTGGGTACGTGCTGCGGCCTTACACAACACCATCTAAACGCACACGCATCGGATAGATCAGTTACCCTCAGTCACTGAAGATGGAACAATCCGACGCCAGCACTGCATCTTTTGGAGCCAGATCGGATGAGTGCATCCCATAACTCTAGTCCAGGTACGATCGAAGCGGAGACTCTGACAGTGGTGAGAGAAGGTGCGACAGGTAGAGCACGAAGTCGTTCCCCGTCAGCGCAATCGACACCACCGGGGGGGACACCAAGATCAGGCCGTAGCCCTAGGGAGACGAGGAGGAGGACTGACACCGGAGCTGTGAGAGTGCTAGCATTGGAGGATGGGTCAACTGTACCAGTGCCGTCGGACAGCGAAGCTGGAGATGGAGCAAGGGCAAGCACTGACAACCTACAACTAGCACGGGCCGATGGAGACCTGAATGCGAAGTGTGCGCAACTACTTGCCGAAGTGCATATGTTGAACCACCAAAACGCATGGATGGTCGAATGTGAGCAGAGACAGAACCAGATTATACAACACGAGACCGAAGTCCACGAAGTAGTGATGGCACACCTCGAAGAATGTTATGTCGAAGGATATGGAAATCAACGAAGAATCTCCCAACTTACAGAATCCAGAGACTGTTTGCTCTCGGCAGCACACGATTTGCAATACCAGATTGACACTGATCGTGTGGCAATGCGAGATCGTCTCACCCAATTAGGGGAGTACGCTGATCGCAACAGCGCAGAGATGGTTAGCCAAGTTGTGAACATCGGCACGGAAGAGATCCAGGCTATATCGGCGGAAAGAGATCGAGCCGTAACCGAGGTCATGACTGCAGTCGCAGATGCTGAGAACATTAGGGATCTGTATAGACAGGAGTTAGTTGGACTACAAAGGCAGAGTGCCAGGAACAAACACGAATATGCTGAGGAGATGAAGATGAAGGAAGCAATGTATGCAAGCAAGATCAAATGGTTATCAGAAGAGAATGAGGAGCTCAGCAACCGATCTTATAACCAGGACAATTTCATCATGACCATCAGGGAGCAATTGAAGAGGGCGAACGAGGAGTTGACGCAGGCGAGGATTCAAGGATCCGATCGACTGTCTCAACCATCCAACGTCGAACTCAAGAAAGCTGAAGTCAAGGTGAACATGTTGGAAGAAGACATTCTACGGAAAGAGAGGATGCTGAAAAGTCTTCAGGAAGAATTGATCGAATCAAGCGCAAGTGAAGCACAATTGAAGGTCGCACTGACGTTGAAACCACCAGACATGGGATCAGAACCCAACGTGGAGAACGAGATGATGACCAAACTTAGAGCGGAACTTGAACGTACCGAAAAGTCATTAAGGTCCGAGGAGAAAGAGGCAATGGAGTACTACGAAGGTATGATGCAGAACCAACAGGACATGATGGAATTCGAAGCGCATGCAGCACGGCTCAGAGATGAGAGGAACAAGTACCGGAGGAGGTACGAAGAGGAGCGCTTGAATGCAGAGAATACAGCCGCAACCGAACATGGTGCCGCTTCATCCTCTAGCTCGGGTGGCTCCAAGATATCTCGGAAGGAACACGAGAAGATCAACATCCCTGCATGGCCCAAGATACACGACTTGGAGGTTTGGAAATCCCAGGTTGTAGCGGCAGTCGTGACGGCATCGGGCGACGAAAGACAGGAAGACTGGATCCAGTGGCTCTCGGATGCCTTCAGATCACCATATGACCCATTTCTGCTCGAGACATCAGGCGAAGCAAGATTCGCTAGCATAGACGCTAAGCTAGGTATCACCCTACATACGATCATCCACGCAGCAGGTGAGAGATCTCATGACGTACAACTAAAGGTGAGGCAGATGATGCAGAGACGTGCGAGAGGCACAACTCCTGGAATGGTCAAAGGACGAGAGATGTTAGCGTTGATCGTCGACAGCTTCCGGAGTGCCGACAACGTTGATGTGATGTATGCTTCCAAGCACTTATTCGATCTAAAGTTCCCTGGGGATAATCAACTATCCAGATTCCTTGGACAGTGGGATGAGATCATATCAGGTATGGATGCGGATGACATGCTTCCTGACAAAGCACTCCGCAACCTGCTTTGGGATAAGATTAAGGATTCCAAAGTTATGGCGTTAGACTTGTCCGTGTACGACAACATGTTGGATAAGGACCCGGATAAGACCTACCAGAAGTTACGAGAGATCATGGCGAAGTGGATACGGAAATCAATCGAGACCACAAACAAGAAAGAAAGGGAAAAAGCTTTTGGGAACCTCGTGAAAGCCACACCAGCGGAGAAGAAGGACCCTAAAGCGAAGCCCAAGAGTACCAAGGCCGATCCACCGAAGCTTGACGCCGCTCCAGTACTTCCTCAGGCTAATCCGAAGGATCACCACAAGAAGGACAAGAAGCAGGATCGTGGAAGGTCAACCACGAAGAGCCCAAAGGGGGATCGTGGCAGGTCAGCGACTCCGGCAGACACGTCCAAGATAGGATGCACTTTCCACTTCCATGGGAAAAACGGATGTTCTAGAGGAGACAAATGCAAGTTCAGTCACCAAGAGAAGCGCAAAAGTTCTGCTAAGAAACCAGATAACCTCAAGGGTGACAGATCAAAGAGTCCTGGTGGCAGGAGCACTAGCCCTAAGCCAATGAAGGATCAGGTCTGTTGGAATTGGCAGAAAGGATCGTGCAAGTTCGGGGACAAATGTCGACGTCAGCATCACGCTGCTCCTGCTACAAAACAAGAGGCTAAAGGCAAAGCCAAGCCCAAACCGGCTGCGCCAGCCTTCATGCTTTGCGGAGACATCGAGAGTGATGACGAGGACATGCAACCCGCGCTTCCCAACGTACGACGAGGTGAATTGGCGCTTCGCTTTAAAGTCAGATTCGATGACCAGGCGAATGTGACCACGTTCCCCTGCGATCCTGGTAACGAGCTAAACACCCGTCCCCTCAGGAAGAAGAAGAGTGAGGTACAGAAGGTGGATACCGAGCTCATTTCGTCGTTGAGAGCCCTCAGAGTGAGCAATATAGCTGCACGAGTAGCACATGCCAAAGGTAAGATGATGGAGCTATTTTCTGCTGAACACATTGCCAAGGCATGGATACAAATCACTCAAGATGAAGGAATCGAGGTGAACGTCGACCTGTCTGACTTCAACACCAGCGAGGTAGTAAGGAAGGATTATGTCAACTACACGATACCAGGAGACACGATGTTCATGGCTGTGGAGAGGTATGATGGACCACCGATACGCTTCATCATGGACACGGGATGTGGACACGACTTGATCTCAAGAGAGAAAGTCAATGCCATGGGCCTTACCACCAAGGAAGGACCCAAATCCGTGAGCTTCATGACAGCGAATGGTGTAACTAGTACATCAGAGATGGTGGACATCAATGTGGACGAGCTACCCATGAGATCCGAGGCACACGTGTTGGAGAGCACACCATCAGTCTTTTCCATCGGGAAACGGTGCATGGAACAAGGGTACTCATTCATATGGCCGGCAAATCAATTGCCATACCTCATCGACCAGAACGCGAACAAGATTCCGCTATCGGTGCATGACAACATACCATACATCAAGGTGAATGATGATGACGGGAGATGTTTACCAAGACCAGACGGCTTGGCTACGATACTTCATCGCATACTGTCGGGTGTGGGGCATGAAGACGAGGCCACAGCAGGTCAGGAGACACAACAAGAGGAACCTCCGCCCAAGAAACCACGGAGACGGAGGAGAAAGAAGAAAGATAACCAGAGAGATCGGGGTGGTGAATCTGATATCAATCCAGCCGTTGTAGGCGACGAGGGAGAACCAGAGGAACACGGTGACGATGGATATTCTCCTGAAGAGGGATATGACGGGGAAGACCCGAGAATCGATCGTGATCTCGATGGCCAACCTGAAGAAGCCGAAGACGACGAACATGGAGGTGATGCGGATTCTGAACGAGAGGAGAGTGACATTGGTGAAGATGAAGAGGGGCTATTGGAAGTCGATGTGGTTGACGGGGAAGCCAGACTATCAAAACCAGGAGTGCTGAAGAACGAGGCGAAATCCATATTGCACCTGATGACGCACCGATACAAGAACCCATACTGCAAGTCATGTGTGAGAGCAAAGATGAAGCACTACAAGACTAGCAAGGGAGCTTTCAAACGGAAATTGAAGACATTCGGTGACCTCATCACTTTCGATCTCATGAACACTCAGAAGATGGCGAGAGATGGGATCATGCCGGATAAGGACGTATTGGTGATTCGAGATCGGTTCACTGGTGTGATATGGGGTTATCCTTTGAAAGCAAGCAATAGTGACGAAGTGGTGCAGGCGATGAAGCACTATATCGGTAAGAGAAAGGTCACCAACGCTTACTCGGATGATGCGCCACAATTTGAAGCAGCACTCAAGGAACTCCGGATTCCACTAGACCAGTCGCTTCCAGGACATCCCCAGAACAATTCACTCGCCGAAAGAAACAATCAGTTCATGATGCTTACCACATCGACATGCCTACTAGAGGCCGGACTACCACCATGTTTTTGGCCATTTGCAGTGGAATGCGTAAGCCATTTGTTGAACATCGAGAAGCTGAGCGATGGCAGCAGTGCATGGTTGAAGTTGCACAAGAGCGAATTTCCAGGCATGGTGATACCACTCGGGGCGAAGGT